CTAATTGCAGCATTCGAATCGACATTTTTTAAATTTTTCGGTATAAACAATAGAAAATAAGTTAAATATCTTTAACGGCTTTAATATAATCGGTTCAGTTGTGTGGTGTAATTAAAAAAATGTAATAGCTACCACCATCACATACAAATATTAGAAGAATTTCTCAGTTCTAAAATAATTCTAGTTTAGTTATAGAATGTTATTTAAGTTTAGTTCAATTCACTTCTAGTTCAGTTCTAGTTCATTCTAGTTCAGTTCTAGTTCAGTTCTTAGTTCAGTTCTAGTTCGTTCTAGTTCATTCTAGTTCAGTTCTTTCAGTTCTAGTTCAGTTTAGTTCAGTTCTAGTTCAGTTCTAGTTCAGTTCTAGTTCAGTTCTAGTTCAGTTCTAGTTCAGTTCTAGTTCAGTTCTAGTTCAGTTCTAGTTCAGTTCTAGTTCAGTTCTAGTTCAGTTCTAGTTCAGTTCTAGTTCAGTTCTAGTTCAGTTCTAGTTCAGTTCAGTTCTAGTTCAGTTCTAGTTCAGTTCTAGTTCAGTTCTAGTTCAGTTCTAGTTCAGTTCTAGTTCAGTTCTAGTTCAGTTCTAGTTCAGTTCTAGTTCAGTTCTAGTTCAGTTCTAGTTCAGTTCTAGTTCAGTTCTAGTTCAGTTCTAGTTCAGTTCTAGTTCAGTTCTAGTTCAGTTCTAGTTCAGTTCTAGTTCAGTTCTAGTTCAGTTCTAGTTCAGTTCTAGTTCAGTTCTAGTTCAGTTCTAGTTCAGTTCTAGTTCAGTTCTAGTTCAGTTCTAGTTCAGTTCTAGTTCAGTTCTAGTTCAGTTCTAGTTCAGTTCTAGTTCAGTTCTAGTTCAGTTCTAGTTCAGTTCTAGTTCAGTTCTAGTTCAGTTCTAGTTCAGTTCTAGTTCAGTTCTAGTTCAGTTCTAGTTCAGTTCTAGTTCAGTTCGTAGTAGTCAAGTTCTAGTTCAGTTCTAGTTCAGTTTTCTAGTTCAGTTCTAGTTCAGTTCTAGTTCAGTTTCTAGTTCAGTTCTAGTTCAGTTCTAGTTCATTCTAGTTCAGTTCTAGTTCAGTTCTAGTTCAGTTCTAGTTCAGTTCTATTCAGGTTCTAGTTCAGTTCTAGTTCAGTTCTAGTTCAGTTCTAGTTCAGTTCTAGTTACAGTTCAGTTAAGTTCTAGTTCGTCTAGTTCAGTTCTAGTTCAGTTCTAGTTTCAGTTTTCTAGTTCAGTTCTAGTTCAGTTCTAGTTCAGTTCTAGTTCAGGTTCTAGTTCAGTTCTAGTTCAGTTCTAGTTCAGTTCTAGTTCAGTTCTAGTTCAGTTCTAGTTCAGTTCTAGTTCAGTTCTAGTTCAGTATCTAGTTCAGTTCTAGTTCAGTTCTAGTTCAGTTCTAGTTCAGTTCTAGTTCAGTTCAGTTCAGTTCTAGTTCAATTCTAGTTTTAATTCTATTTTTGTTATAATTCATATAATCGCAGTTCTACTGTAACTGTAAGATTAAACTATTTTTTAATTTCTAAATTGTGCCATAGATTAATTTTAACAACCTGTTATTTTTTTTTTTTTTGTAATATAAAAAATATGAAACATTTTGTTGTCAAATTCATTGCATAGAATAAGTAGTTAAATCTGAAACTGGGTACGTCTCTTAGAGAACATGAAAAATGTATTCATACAGAACCCAGTTATAATTTTTCCATATGGCTAAAATGGAATTCTAATTATTAATTATAATTACAATTATTTTTTTTCTTAAGTTTATCTATAAAAATATTGATAAATTAATAGGTAGTCGCTATACGAGTGGTTATTAATAACAGGAAAAATACTTTTTAATATTAAAAAGTCTAATAATGGGTGGAAACCATTGAAAGAATAAATTAATTTTGTTGTTTTAATAAAATGTTTAGTTAAAAGAGGAATGTTTTGTTTTTAAATGTTAAATAAGAGATAACAATTGTTTGTGATTTATTGCAAAAGGATTTTTAGAATTGTTTAATGGCAATGTTTAGATTAGATCAAAATGAAAGTAAACCTATTCTTATTAAAAAATAACATTTTTAATAAAAAATAATTTTTTGAACTTTTGTTTTTTACCAAAAATTAAAATTTTTAAAAAATTCTACATAACACTAAATGTTTGTTTTCTCACTACAAATTCGATTCAATATTCACAAAAAAAAGTTTTGTTAATTTTTGTTTATTTGAAATCCATTATCTCCAACATGAAGAAAACCGTCAATTCCACTCGATCACGAATTTCGGAAGCATTATTAATAAAAATCAATATTAAAAGACATTTTACTTAAAAATACCCAAAAATCTGACAAGTGCTTTGTCATTTATAAAATAATGTTAATTAATTTGACAACTGAAGGTCTAAATTTACAAATGCTTTTATATATTTATTCTGACGATTTAACTCCCTAAATTTTACAAATTTAAATTTAAATAATCTAACGCGTATTTTGTTTCTAACTATTTATACTTATCAAAATAAATATTCTGAAATTAATTTCCATAATTTCATTATTTATTGAACTTTCATTCAAAATTCTAAATAATAATAAATTTAAAATATTAAAATTTACATAATACGCTACAATCGTCATCTCATCTAACATTGATCTAGTTCTGAATAATTTGAAATATGAATTCTTATTAGTTTGCAAACTTGGTCTGCGAGTTTTTCATAAATCATAAACAAAACAATACAGTTTTTAAATAAAATAAACAAAATACGGAAAAAAGTAGAATATTTTATTTGACGAAAAAAGAAGTGTGTTGATAAATAAGAAGGGATTAAGGTTGGTTGGGTAATCTGATCAATGAACCCACAATAATGAAAAATCTATAATTTATTGAGTGTTTATGGTATTTGTAAATAATTTGTATTGAATGTTGTAATATAATGAGATATTGTTT